CCTTGATCGGTGTCAAATGAGAACACCGTTGCAATAATTCTCGGCTTACCGACTGAGGAGCGAGGTTAAGTGACTTAATTGTTTGTACACTTATCTCTTCTAAGTCGCTCGAATAAATGCCTTTTATTTTAACGTTTAAGCGATACGAACTATCGTCGTTAATTCGCTTACCTCCCACGGCTTCGATACGTAATCCCTCTTTACGTCCGCGAGGCGCTAACTTCTGAGCCATCCACTCCTCTATGAGTGTCATGGTCGATCCCTCATCCAGAAGAGCTGTTGTCCTGACCTTTCCTCTAGGCCCATGCAACTCGACCGGTATGATCTTTAAATATGCACATGCCAGTGCATTTACTGTACTAACAGTTGTAATTTGAGCATCTTTACCCCCTCGTCCCCTTGTGGCGAGGTATTTTCATTGGGGTATCGGTGTAGCATTCGATGATGTGACATTCTACATCCTTCTACACCACATTTTTTCGCTTTGCACTCTAACCTCCTATGGTTAGGTGACAAACATTGGAAACATACTTTGGCCTTTTTGACGGCTTCCCATTTCTCGCGAATATTCATGTCCTTAAACTTGTAACAACTCACTATAGAGTGCTCCTTGTTGCATATAACACACTTATGTGTTACCCGACTTACAGGCTTGTCCTGGGTTATCATAACCACTTGTCGGTTGTGCCTTTTATTATTTCGGCGTTCTAAACGCTCGCTCATATTACTTCGGCGCATATAGCGCTCGCTCTCGGCACAGCTGCGTACACCTCCCTTTGCAGTGTGTACAGTTTGCTTCCTGAATTCAGGACGCTTCCTTTTTTCAGGCGCATTTTCATTGCTTAAGGACGTTCCAAATTGTTCACTCAATAAATTTAAAAACTTGGCCATCTTCTGTAACTCTGGCTCCAAAGGATATTGAGCTCGATATTCAAACCATTTAAATTTAATCATAGTTCCAAGTTTCTCCACTATGCGGCTCACTAACTCCGGTGAGTATAAATACTGTGGTTGATTCAACGCTCGTATTGTGGCAACCACGTTCGTAATACGACTTGCAAAAGATCCTATATTTCGGCAATCTTCTGCCAATCTTGGCATACGCTTTACATTCTCGATTTCGGCTAGAATGAGCATCTCAACCCTACCGAATCTTCTTTCGAGAGCGTTCATTATTTCTTCAGGTTCACATAAAGTAAATAACAGCGACTTAACCGCCTCTTTAGCGGTGCCCTTTAATGCCCTCCTAAGGCGTGCGACATTTTGCACCCCTGAAAATTGGCCTTTTGTGTCTTCAAACACCGTTTTGAAAATTATCCATTCACCCGGGTCTCCATCGAACACCGGTAATTCCTGGAGGAAATGAAGCTGGGAAGATTTATCTTTACCAGCTATTTTTATTGCACTCACAATCGCTTCGGTCAATTCTGACACCTCACTCGCGTGTGTTTTCTGTGCATTTCCTAGGTTGCGCTCGACCTCCGCCCCTTTGCGGCGTGATCCTTTACACGCTTCCTTATCAGTAATATCGGGTTGTGCTACACTAACCGGCGCGCTCATTATGGTTTGCTGAACCCAACTCCTTACGAAAGGTTCCACCTGAGTATTCCGCTCTTCATCATCCTCACTCGAGTCGATCTCTTCTCGGTTGAGTCGTGCCAACTCCCATTGAGACTTGGCTAAGGCAGCAGCTGCCTGTGCTCGTTCGAGCTCTGAGCGTTCGAATTTAATCCGCGCCTCTAATTCGGCTTTCAGCCTCGCCGATCGCGATGACCTACTACCTCTCTGTGACCCTTTATCACTAGTGTGCCCGATTACTGTCCTTGACGATGCCGCTTCTTCGGTCCTTTGACCTACTTTTTCGACCACCGTTTCACTCCTGGATATAACGGATTGTTGTGCGGTGCTGGCCTGTGTACCACTGGTGTCCGTCCGGTTGCTTGTCGTTGCCATGGACGTCCCTGAGTCCCACGTGCATGTGGACGTGTCTGTGGTGGCTCCACTTGAAGGAGTTGCTCCATTTGACGCAGTAGCTGTGGTCGCTCCAGATGATTCCGCTTCTTTAGCTTTTCTTGAGAGCCCTGTCCTTGTCCTGCTCCCTTCGCTTCTCCCTGTCTGGTCTTGTGCCTTCTTCATCTTGCAGGGAAGGTGATTGTTGGCCTACGGTCCCTAACTGTCCCTACAGTCCCTACGGTCCCTACAACCCCTTACCTACAACCCTTCTACACCCCAACCTAACACCACTACCCCTCCCCCCTTTATCTCCCAACCCTACAACCCTACTACCACCCTAACAGCCCTATCAGCCCTATCAATCCTGAACGGGGCCTACTGAGGTGAGCCGTCCAGGGATGGAGTCGTGCAGGAATGGAATGGAGGAAAGGTTTAGAAACTGTCCCGCCAAGGAATATGACGAAACAGTCGAGCGGTAGTGCAAGCGCAGTCTCGCTCGAGAGAACTGCTCCACACGAAGGTGTTATGCCAGAGCCCAACCGTTTGGCACCGTTAGGTGGTCGGGATGTATGCTGTGCTCGCCGCCCAGTTGCCGGTGACGCCTCGTCCAAGCGCCCTCCTCCGGCCGCGATGCAGTCAGGTGCCCACGCGCACCCTCGCCCGGCAGCAGCAGCGGTGGATGCTTTTTGCACCCTGATGACCCGACGGGAAATGCCGGACACGGTCTTCCGACAGGAAATGCCAGACACGATCGTCTGACAGGAAATGCCAGACACGATCGTCTGACAGGAAATGCCGAGCACGCTTGCCCGACAGGGAAAAATGCCAAGCCCTGCTTGGCCACGATGAGTGCCTTCACAAGACACCTGCGCCCGGCTGCGATATGTGCCCCATGCGAGCACACGCCCCAAGCTGCAATCCCGGTTTTCTTTCTTCCGGTAGTTCCAGGTCCAGCCCTTCAGTGCTGCCGTCCTGGTCTTCAGGCCTTTGGTCCTATTGCTTCAGCTCAAACCTCTGGCTTCCTTCGGTTGCTGATCTTCACTCGGCTTCCGAAGGTCTTCTTCTTCCACAACCAGCAGTCCACAGCTGGTTCCTTGATCCAGCTGGCGGGGTTCGGGTGGTCTTCGATCCGGCTCGAAGGACCAATTGAAAAGGACCAGGTCGGTGTCCCTCTTGATCCTGAAAAGGACCAATTGAAAAGGACCTAGCGGATCGGGTACTAAGAAACAGGAATCGAGGCTTCTCTCGATCCGGCCTCCTATTACGCCTACGTTGGGTTCGGGAACAACGTATGTGATCTCCGCAACGGAGTAACACACTAGGGCGATAACCTCTTCCTTTTCAGCAAGTAGGTTCAGACGGGGATTACGGGTCTTCCGAAGTCGTCCCGGTCCCGACGCCTTAATTCTTCGATGTGGACTGTATAACTTGAAGGATCTTGGGAATGAAACAGCAATTATCTTCAAACCGTTCCGTGAGAGAGTAATCACTTTTCCCTATACTGCTGGTTTTTCACTTTTCTTGAACTTTTTCCCGGATTTTCTTATTTATTTCCGAACTATTTCCTTGAATATTTCCCGAACGATTCCCGAACGATTCCCGAACGATTTCCTTGAATATTTCCCGAACGAATTGCAATAAAATCAATTTACTATCCTACCCCTAAGCTAAACGCGAAAGTGAGCCGCGCCATCTGCGCGCTTGCGCAACTTAATTACATGAATTTGTACTATTACTCTCTCACGTTTCACTCAATATCTTTATTTATTCAAATCATATACAAATACAATTTATCAATATAGGTAGTACAAAACAATATCTACACCATGATATACATCATATCTTCATATCATAAAAAACCTTTATTTATTAAACGAAAACTGCCTATTTTACTCACAAGTTCGAAATCGAAATTTCTTAAATATTTAACACAGAAAGTTAAAACAATGTTTCTCACTTGAATTTATACATAAGCTAACCAATACAATAGTTTAATTTACATTTTTTCTATTTATTTCACTATTTAAAGCACTTTTAAATTTCTTATACAAAACTATCATTATTTCACTTATACACAGGAATTTTCACATGAAAATAACACAGAATTTACCTTTTTAGCACGTACAATTAACCTGAAATATTTTACAAGTAATTTTTACATAAATCACTGAATTACAAACATTTTAAATTTTTACATATTCGGCCTCCTAAGGGCGTGGCCAGCGTGCTTCCGTGTACTCACGCTATGTGAACAACTAACTTTGCACGGCTCTCGGCTATCAGAAAAAATTAAATTATGAAATACACCAATTTTGACCACATTAGGCAAATTAAATGCTTTTATACAATTTTCGAACTGTATGAAACTATCTTTAATCAGATAACAATATAAATGAATGTTCTCATTAATCAATCATAACAAATAGGCATTTGTTTTCGTTCAAAACGTATCAAACTTATACAAAACAACATTTATGCAATTAATATCCATTAATTCTGCCTATGCACAGAGTGATTATCTCGACCGGGGAACAAATCCGATCTTTAACTTCACTTTAATATTCTTATGAATTTACATCATTTGAAAGATGATTTCAACCGGGGAACAAATCCGGTAACATAATTTATATCTTAAATTCCTTACGAATTTATTAAGCGATATTACTTAGGAAAACAAACAAACTAGTCCGGCCTGGGAGTCGAACCCAAGACCTTCATATCATTAATTCGACATTTCTTAAAGATTTAACTAAGCATTCTCTTATCAGAGCGTCGTTGCTCGTGACTACCCCTTTTTTCATAGCAACGTCATCGGTTGATTTAATAAACTGAAACATTTTTATAGGCGCGTCGCCAACAATGCTGAAATATTACTATTAACTATACTTGAAAAATAAAAATCACTGCTTCGTGCTAGTGTAGAAAAGCTAATGTAGCCTTCACATGGGAAAGCAATATTACTGAATTAATGTAACTTTCCCGTCTTGATCATGAAATAATAAGTTGTTGTTTTCAAATCTTTACCAATTTTTATTCAACAGCACACAATGAGAGAGCTCTTAAATACATTTAATACGGACTACGAAGCTTTGCTTTTACACAATGAAAATCTCCGTCTCGGTGCAACCACGTCACCAAGCTGTCTCGATGCACTTGCGCCAGCAAGCTGGTGCCGCACTGCACAGCGCGTCGAGTTGCTGAGCTGCACTAGCGCCCGCGAGCCGCTGCGCCGCACTGCACTCGACAGCGACAGCATGCAGCGAGGCGTCGCGAAACATTTGCACCAGCGACGCTACCAGAACGGGTGGGAGATTGCAGTTCTACCCTAATTTCTTCACATTTTATTTTATTATTTTACCATCGTTGATTACGATACATATAATATAAGATTTACTTAATAAATAATTAAAACTGAAAAAGCCAGCCTTTCTGGTCTTAGCAGCGCTTCATCTTCCGAAACCCCCACGATCCATCAACGCACATCCCGCCAAGCCCACGCAGAGCAAACACCTCGAAACGGCTCTTTATCTTATACCATGCCACTTCTGTGTAAAATCTAGATAATATTTTGCGTTCAACGACAATAAACATAAAAATAATTGCATTGTCTTTAGTATAGTTTCCTATTCCATCGGTCTTCACTTCACCTCTTTCAATTTCAATTGTTTACAACTTATACATTGACGACATGTCTCACTCTAATCTGTAACAAAATTAAAGTACAATAACTTAAATTCACAAGTGCACCAAGCCAGTTTGGCTGAGCAGCAATTTAGAAAATTATGCTGCATCTTTAAATTGGAACCGATGCCTTTGGTTACCTTATCATCAATCTGCGAGGTTTGGCTTTGGTATTTCCACTTAAAAAAGTAAGTGTTAGTTGTTGTGTGTAACACTTGTTTTATCAATGAAAAATAATTATTTAATAAATAGTAATCCTATCTTTTTTATTTTGGCACTACTCTAAGGTAGATTAGTAAAATGCCTCACGGATTAAGTATATACATTCACGTATACTAGCAGTTCCCCGCGGCTTATGTGTGTGGAATTTATTACGGTTAAATTTCATAGGTTTTAATTTATTTGCGCGTATCCCTAATTCTTTTTCTAAAACTAGTTTAAGTTACTTCTTATTACATCAACTCTCTACCAGTGACAGTCCCGTCACAATCAATCCAGCCATTTTGGAGATTAGTCGGAACAAACAGACATACAACAATTTTAATAACTTTTTTGTAAGTTCCGTATATATTTGTACTTTCACACACTTCAAATTAATTACATACGCAGTAGAGCCACGCTGCAGCTGTATCCTGGTTGTAACACGAACGGATCGGCTCGACCGGGGAAGGACTTCGCTCTCACTGAATACCATAGCAAAAATGAAGCTTAATATTGCGATGTTTCATATGGAGACCGAGAGATACGGAGAACCTTCTTTCAGGAAACGATTCATTCCATCATAGTCCTTACGTGTGACAACGCATATGCGCAGCACACACACACACATAGCAGCACAAACCCTGTTTAAAATCAAGACGCATTTATAGTTCCATATAGGCGTACAATTTTAGTTACACAAAGAGCTGATAATTAGTTTATAAGTCACTTAGGTACTGTTTTTTTTTCTTCCCAAATTAATTTTTACTTACCTTTTGTAAATTAAACTCAATATTGTTAGTAATTAAGGGAATAGCTACATAGTCCCAACACAAGTATTATCAATTACTTACTGGGGATGTCTCATTTATAATATATGTGTCCGTTTTGAGACAAATAACCATTTTTTCACAATAAATAAGCAGTACAAAAGTAGTAAATATGTTATACAAATAAGAATAACATAACGTTATTGCATAATAACTACTTGAAATGAACGAAAAATGTTTTATGACCTTCGAATATAATAACAGAACATCTTAACAACGCTGACAATAAATCCATTTTACGCCCCATTGCGTTTATTAGATAAAAGAGAGTAGCTTTTTACGAGAACTTTAAGGAGATAGAATTAGCCAATAGGCTTAGAGCGTGCAACCCTTTCCTGTCTGCTATGTTTATTATCCTTATATAATATTATTTGTTATAATCTAGTAAACAAAACTATATTAGTGTCGTTATCAATATTACAACTCATAGCAAGCATGGAATATATACACAAAAAAGGGATCCTACCACCAAGTAATCCCTTGTTTCGTTTCCCTCTGTCGCCTCTCATGACTTGCACCCTATGGAAAATTAAATATTACAGATGTTAAAAATATTTTATTCATTTATTCAATGCTAAAAATCAATCAGATAAGATCCGCGCAATAAAATAAAATGATGTGCCTTACCCAGTTTGAAGAGCACGACCTGCTCTCCTTCAGTAGCGTGCATTAACCCGTCACCACTGATCCCAGCACCACTACACTAGGAAAGAATACCGTCCGTTAGTAATACCACGTCAGTAATACCACGCGCTTTCGCTTCTTATCTTAGCTTAGCATCTTTAATTTAATAGATACAAATATAACGCCTAATTCCATTAATTTTGTGAAAACAAAATAATTACTATAAGTTCATTTGAGAACTTATAGTAATTACAGCCACAGAACTGAAATATCTATAAATTTTATTTTAGAATTTTTATCGTCAGCTACATTTAATTTAAAAGATTAACTTCATCTTCTACTTCTTCTTCAACCGCTAAACATCCACCGCTGGATAAAAGTAAGGGTAAAGGACGAGTACACAATTCATGTAATGGTTAGTTTTCCACTTGGTAGAGCCATGCTGTATATTATGGTTGTAGCACTATTGGGTCGGCTCAACCAGAAAAGCACCGGTCAAGTAGCAGCTTAATACTGCTGTGTTTTATACGGTGAGTGTAGAGAACCGGAGAACCTTTCTACTGGAAACGAGGCATTCCATCTTACTCTTCAGGGATGGCGACGCATCGGCATTTTGTTTCTTAATCGAGAATATATGTTAATGTCTATGTGCTACGGCATCCACTTATCAATCAGCTGGAAAGTGTGTTCGGTTTTGATCCTTATTCTATATAAGTATAAAGAGTTGATAATAGTATTGACTATTGACTATGAGAATCAAAATATTCTTAGTCGACCCTGTGGGCCAAATTGCAATGGTAAATTGCAATTGCAAAGAAAAAAGGATCTCTGGTTTTCCGCACTTACCATATTAAACACAGTATTATTATTTTACACTGTTAATTAATCCCTGAGAGCGTAGACCTTCTCTGCTCGAGCCAATCCATTTATGCTGCATCTGCAACCATAATACAATTACAGCGTAACTATACCTTGGGCATCCTACTCTATGAGATTTGACTAAATCGTCAGTCTTGCCAGGCGTATTCACGATCGCGGCGCCAAAGCGAACCATCGTCGGTTATGTCGGAACGTGGAGTTATGGAGTGTAGAGTATGGAGTGTAGATTGTAGAAGTAAGGAGTACCAACTCCCATAGTTGAATAGTTGCAAAAGTGGCCATCTGTAAGCAGTAAATAACACTTCAAAATCTCTCCACAACAGCGCTGGAGTAGCTAATGGGATGAAATGAACTTAGCAGTTGTCGACGGTTTGAAGTGTCTGCTAAACTGCTCAGTAGCTCTAAAATTTAAAATAATTTTGTTTAGTATATCCCACTAATATTTTTCGGCAAGTTCTTTAAAACTTTGCCCGTAGTATAGTGGCACCACCCTTATTAAAAATTAAAGAACTTTTTATATTTTTTTATGAACAGACTTTCAACATAATTCTTTTTACAATAATTATTTTATTGCTTTCAAAATATTTATTTTCAAAATCACTCTCAATGTATTTTACGGCGATTTATCACACCCTGTTATAACCCTACTCGAGCGCTGTTGTGGAGAGTTTTTGAACTGTTATTTACTGCTTACAGATGGACACATTTTCAAATTTTCTCCTATGGTAGATTGTCCTCCTCACCTCTTTACTCCGTGGTTTAAGTATGTTACGTATGGAGTGTAGAAGTAAGGAGTACAGACTGTGTAATAAAAAGTGTTCATAGAAAACCGTTAAATAATGGTGGCGCCACTATAGCTACGGGCTAAATTTTAAAGAACGTGCCGAACAATATTAGTGGGATAGACGACTTTCTCGAGGTTATATTTACTAAATAAAATTATTTTAGATTTTAGAGCTACTGAGCAGTTTAGCAGCACACTTAAAACATCGACAACTGCTAAACTCATTTCATCCCAGTAGCTACGCCAGCGCTGTTCTCGAGAGTTTCTAAACTGTTTACTGCTTACATATGGCCACTTTTTCAAATATTCTGGTACTCCTTACCGTACTTCTACACTCCATAATTTTACGCTTATTGTAAAGAGGTTGTTATACCGCCATATACTGAAAATTTACACTGATTGTAAAGAGGTTGTCATACCGCCATCTACTGGAAGTTTTGCTTATTGTAAAGAGCTTGTTAACCGCCATCTACTGGAAATTTAAGCTTATTGTAAAGAGCTTGTTATACCGCCATTTACAGGTAGTTATAAAATGTTTCTGTCGTTTCCTATACTTGTCTCTTACGTCACTTATGAGTCCAAATCGCGTGATAAATAATTTTACAATGATTTTATACATAAATAAATGAAACTGGTAACCCTCCTAAAATACTAAAATAAATTATAAGAAAATCAATATGTATACAATATGTAACGTAATTAACGCACACCCTCAGACACCACATAATTATAACATAATTAGTATATAACATAATATACTAATTATGTTATAATTATAATACACACACTGAATTTTTAGTTAAACATTTTTAAGCTCTGATTATTTATCTAATTAATTATACTAATTCCGGAAGAATGTTGTGGTCACAGTACAAATCCACGAACGCAAAGAATTTAAAGCACTTGAAATAATGTTAATTTTTCTTTATTTTTATTGAATGACAGAATTAGTAATAATGCAAATAAAACTGCACTCTTAAAATCTTATTGTCTTATTGCCTAAAGTTACGGTCCATTTCAGTTTGTTTTGACTGTACAGATTTAGTGTGACTGTAATTTACGTAGTTTTAATTATTTTTGGGATAAAAAATTATCTATATTAAAAATGATAGGAATAGATTCAGTAAACGATTCTGAACAAACTACTTTCTTAAAGTGCATTAATTATGTTACGTGTTGTATACATACATAAACACTCACGCCTGTCACCCAGAGGGGTAGGCAGAGACTACAGACTTCCATTTGGCACGATCATGACACACCTCTCTCGCCTCTTCCACATCCGTATACTTACGCCTTCATGCTCGTCAGTTAAGCGTACACCTAATTTGAC